CCGTCTCATAATAATTATATATTTAAAATGACCACATAGATAATTACTCAACTTAGAACAGGTTAGAACTCAAACAATTAAAGTGTCAGCGAGAAATACAAACATTAGGAAAAGCATAGGCCAGTCACAATACTACACTCACATATGATGAAGGAATTACAGAGAACGGATGTGCATTGTCGGAAGTTCCAAATAAAAACAATACAAGTCTGTGTCGGGAGGTGTGAAATGTGCGCTATTGTGTGTATGTGTGTGTCTGCCTGTGTGTGTGTAAGAAAGAGAGAGAGACAGAGAGGGTGTCCCCCAGAGTGGGTAGAACAGGTGAGTGACAGACAGGGCGTGTAACAGTTTGGCTGTGTCTACACAGGCACCTTTTTCCGGAAATGCTTAAAACGGAACAGTTTTCCGTTATAAGTATTTCCGGAAAAAGAACGTCTACATTGGCAGGATGCTTTTCCGGAAAAGCCCTTTTTCCGGAAAAGCGTCCGTGGCCAATGTAGACACGCTTTTCCGGAAAAAAAGCCCCGATCGTCATTTTCGCGATCGGGGCTTTTTTGCAGAAAAGACTACTGGGCTGTCTACACTGGGCCTTTTCTGGAACAGTTTTCCGGAAAAAGGACTTTTGCCCGAGCGGGAGCAGCATAGTTTTTCTGGAAAAGCAGCTGATTTCTTACAGTAAATTGTCACTGCTTTTCCGGAAATTCAAGGAGCCAGTGTAGACAGCTCTCAGCTTATTCCGGAAAAGCGGCTGCTTTTCCGGAATAAGTGGCCCAGTGTAGAGACAGCCTTTGTGTGACCGAGTTTCTGTGATCATGTGTGGTTATCAGCTGTCAGGAGGACCGTGCGGTGCAGGAGCTGCTGAGGTGGTTGGTGTGTTACTACTCAGGGCGGAGGTGGGTGAATAAAGAGCCATTCCTAGGACTGCTCCAAGTCACATGTCTTAAGTCCAAGCTTTGGCTCCCGAGCAGAGATGCAAATCTACGGCCATCAGAGCAGAATCAGGGGAGAAATCACACACTGGTACCAGGCTGCTGCCGTACCTGCATATCCAGAGAGCAGGGCAGTAGAGCAGCTGATACACAGCTGGGTCCTGAAACCAAACCGGCCAGTTTCTTACTGGTGTCTTGCTGGCCACAAGTTCTCCCTTTCGTCTGGGCATGTTGAGGCCACAAGGGGGCAGATGCCCCATATAAATGTATGGGGAAATCCAAGCAGCGTGACCTGGGTTTATTTTCGGCCATGGGCAAATCTCTCATACAGAGATCAGGACCCTGTCGTGCCGGGCGCTGCACAGACACAACGAGAGACAGTCCCTGCCCCAGCTCAGAACAGGGCCCCGTTGTGCCGGGCGCTGCACAGACACCGCAGGTCAATTCCGGTACCTCTGCCTCAGTTTCCCCACACATGTAATGGGGATGATGAGTCTTACTCAGCTCTAGAATGAGCTTTGAGAGCCTCCCATGACAGGCGCTATATAAAGTTTCATTCCTGATGGTTTCATTGAGGCTCAGTTTCCTTTTGAAAGGGTTATTGACGCTCTGCTCAGAGGAGGACGGCATCTCGCTGGCAAATCCACTGGAGTGCAGAGCTGCAGCTTTGTGAATGGATCCGATTCCCCCTCACCACCCCACAGCTGTTCCCCTCGGCTAGGCGTGGCACCAGGAGCTGGCGGGACAGAGGAGAGGGCCCCTGTCAGCGCCTGTCGGTTGGTCACACTCACTCGGCGGTGGCTCTTCCCTGGGCTAACAGGATCCGCGGCTGCCCTGTCCTCCCCTCCGGCTCTGCCCTGGGGCTGCTCCTCCCCACCACTGCCAGGGACTGGCCAGGGGCTC